CATGTAAATTATGTGATTAAAATAGGTATTATAAAAGGCAAAACCATTACATAATAAAAAAAGGTTAGTTTCTTTTTGAAAAAAAAATCAAGAAAAATCAAACCTACATACGTACGTATGTACGTATGAACATACCTGAGTTCAGGCATACTTACATGCATACTAATGTTATTTAGTAAAGGCACAAACTTTAATGCATGTGAAAATTATTAATACATAATTGTCTTGAAAAAAAGTCAAGAGATCGGTCAAATATAAATGGGCAAGCAATTATGTGTTGGATTTTTCTTCTCAAATAGAATCTTAAACAAATTTCACAAAATTTTAAATAAATGATAGATAACGCCTTTTGATTCTAATCCTGTTTCATAATATTAAAGGAATTGTGTCTTACCCCGTTTCATAATATTGAAGGAATTGCATATTTTTTTGATGTCACACCTTTAAGCATGAGATTTTTTCCCCAGTATAACAATATATTAAATAGGCTGAAATGTAGAATGTATATAAAAGGTCAAAAAAAAAAAAAACCAGTGAACTTTATTTTATAAAAAAAAAAGGATTCATACCCAATTTTCCTTATTTTGTAATGCCAAAACCGACAATTACTAAAAAGTGGCAGCAAAAAAGAGCAGAGGTAGCTCGTTCTGCATGTGCATCTTACTCTCTTGTTGACCTTGATTCAAGTGAAGAATACCTTGATTCTAGTGGCAATTCAGACGAAAGTTCAGATGATAATTTTATAAAGCTGAACAACCTTGATAATGTGAATATAATTATTGAGCAACTTCATGCGGTTTTGACAGTGGGATCTAAAAAAAAAAGGTGCCCTTCTGTCTATGTTGGGAATTCTAAACATATAAGACAAAGAAGAAACAAGACCTTCAGAGAAGCAGCTGTTGAAAGCTTGAAGATTACGCATTTTTTTCCAGTACATAACCACCAATAGTAGATAATGATGAAAGTTATAGGGACTTTCAAGACCAGGGTGATCAGGTTAGAAGGCTTTTTTTTTTAAAAAAAAATCAAGTTTCGATATAGGATTAACAATATTAGTTAATAGGGTAACGATGAATTAGGTGACGAATTAGATGAAGAATTGGACCAAAAAAAAAAAAAATTTCGTAGCGTAATTGAATTTGTAGAAGAAGTATTGAATGATGAAGTGCTCTCAACAACCGAGAAGGCTCGTTATCTGGCAGTTCTTTATTTCCTTCATTTATGTTTGCAAGGTCAAAAAAAATCGAAGCATCAAAAACAATCGCAGACATTGTTAATGGTGGGCCATGGCTTGCATGCTGTATAAGGAAGTGGACGAACACTTGTATGAAAAAGGAGTTTATTCAGCCAGACCTCTGAGGAAGATCCCCTTCAAAAAGCCTGCTCCATGATGAGTTGGTTTCTCTTCAAGTGGCCTTCTATCTTCGCTCTAAAAAATTTAATGTAAACCCTATTATGGTCAAAAATTATTTTGAACAAGAAATTCTCCCCCTGTTGAACATTGAATCTGTGCAAGATATTTCGGTTAGAACAGCATGTTGGTAGATGCACAAGCTCAGCTTTTGTTATCAATGATATTAGAAAGGTTTATATGCAGATGGGCATGAGCGCCCTGATGTCATCGAATACTGCCAAACTTTTCTCCTAGAGGTTGTCTAGCTTGAATAATTTATGTCCAAGTGGGTCGATCTAGAATGCAAAATGAGGACCTTTTCCGATTTACATTGTGATGAAAAGGAACATATATGGGTAACACATAATAAAACCACCTTTTATGTTTATAATAGACCGCATTCTGTGTGGGGTTCAGAAGGAGAACAGCCATTGAGAAAAAAAAGGCTGGGTGCTGCTATGCACATAAGCGACTTCTTAACAGAAACTATAGGATCACTTAAAGATGATCAGGAAGAAGCACGTGTAATGATGGTTAGATGTTATTTTTAACTTTAGTAATCAATATTTGATGTTTTAAGTAAATTAATTAATATTTAAAAATTCTTTTCTAATTTTTTAGGTTTTGAGTGCTAACTGTGATGGTTATTAGAACTCTGAAAAACTCCTTGAGCAAGTAAAATGGGTGGTTAATATTTTTGAGCAAACACATCTAGGATGTGTAGGTGTATTTGCCTTTGACAATATCATATCTCATAAAGCATTTTCTGAGAATGCGCTTGTGGCTTCAAAAATGAATCTTGGTCCAGGTGGTTTGGCTCCAAAAATGCACGAAACTATGTGGAATAGTAGTCGTCAGTCAATGATCATTGAGAATGATCATTTTATTTATGACAAAAAAAAAAAAACTTATGTGAATTTGCATGGGCAGCCTAAAGGAATCCAATGGGTTCTTAATGAAAGAGGATTATGCCAGGATGGTATGATGCTTGAGTGTATTTCATGTAAAAAAAAAGAGGCAGATTCAAATATTATTGATTGCTGTATGCATCGGTTAATGGCTAACCAGCCTGACTTTTTTGAGCAATGTAGTCAAATTCAGCAAGAAATTGAGTCTTGTGGACATAAGGTTATATTCTATCTCAAATTTTATCCTGAGCTTAACTATATCGAAATGTATTGAAGAATGCCCAAAAAATATACTCGATCTAATTGTGAATATTCACTTCCAAAAACCAGAGAATCAATCATTCAGGCTTTTGATTCTATTTCCTTAGAGCAAATTCGTTCTTTTGCTAGACTTTTGTATAGGTGAATAGATGCTTACTGACATGGATTGAAAGGAAAAGTGGCTGAATATGCTGTTAGGAAAAGTAAAAAACACCAAACGAGTAGTAAAAAAATTTTAAATCAGATCAATGAATTTTTAAATTAAAAAAATTTACTTTTCTGTTTTGTAGGCTTCATAATTTTGGAGTTATGTTGATTTTTTTTTTTAATTATTGATATGTATTTGACTTACCCACCTATAAATATATAATTTTTTAAAAATTATTGATTTTTAAAAATTGATTTTTAAAAATTATTGATTTTTAATAAA